ACAAGGCTGATTCCCACTGCAAACTTCTGCAGCGCTTGGTCCTCTCCCCACCAAGAGGCAGGGGGTGGTTTCACTCCCTGCGCAGGCTGTAGGCAGAGCATTAAATGCTCTCAAAGCAATTTTACAGCGGGGAAGCGGAGGCTCTGCAAACAGCTAATGGGTGTATTTCAATTCCCTATTAATTGCATATTTATTACCCGGCTGCTGCAAGGAAACGTCACGTTACGTTGATTAAATTTTTGAAGCCCTACAGTAAATATTTTAAACAAAAAAAGGTTTTGATCTCTGCTGCTGTTGGGAAGGGTGGGGGGAAGCTGCCATTAGAGCTGCTATAATTAGCAAGCTCCATTGCAGACAGTATTTTCCCACAGGCTCTGCAACATGCTTCGTCTGTGTCTGCATGTATTGAGACAGAACACTGTTTTATGTATACATTAGCTATAAATTATATATATATTTTATATATCCTGTGTGTGAGGAAAGGGGGAGAAAAGCAGCAAGCCTGTGCTGCTATCTCATGTCTCGTAGATAGAAAAGATAAAAGGCAGAAAAGGGGATTTCTGTGCACTGATTGATGTTTTGGGGGTATAGGTGACCCATCTGCTAGCCCTTTCTGACCAGATAATGTGTCTGGTTACTTAAGCCCTTGCCTGTACCTGCTTCTGTTCCAAACTCCAAGTCTCTGCCCATGTGCTTTTGGTTGATGGCCATACATACCATACATACAGGAGGATTTCACTGGGCAAGCCTCTGTAAATGTCACCCAGACATGGGGCAGAGATGACCAGGCACTGACATCCTGCACTTCATCTCCTGACCATCTGTGTGGTGTCGTCAACGCAGGCCAGCAGCAGAGAAAACAACAGTCCATATTTCTGACAGACTGAATCATCTTCATCTCCCGCTCAGCCCCCACTCACCTTCTGCACAAGAGGCTGCAAAAACCAAACCCAGCAGCAGAACTGCAGAGGCAATGTGTGACCAGCAGCAGTTTTGCTCCAGTGCTCCCTTCAGAGATGCTTGGGTACTGGTTTGGTCCCAGCCCTGCTCTCCCCAGCCCATGGCAGCAGCGGGGTCCCTATCCCAAAGCGCAGGACTCCACAATGGCCAAAGGCAGCTCCCTCTTCCCCCAGCTCTTCTCTTCCTGACATTCAACATGAATTAGAGGAGATATCAGTCACACCCTGCCAAACAGCCATGGATACCAGCCACAGGACAGGACAAGCTCAAATGATTCTAATATAGGGAAGACCGCTCCAACTAATAAACCCAGGGCTGTGCAGTTCAGTGGAGTCACAGGCAAACCAGAGGGCTGTCACTGATGGGGCTCAAACAGCCCAAGCTTGGCCCTGGAGCTGAAGCAAAAGCAGTGCTGAGGTTTGGCAAACCCTTTAAGGTACAATACACCCTTCAGGTTGTGTCCAAGCCAGCCTTTAGCATTTAGGTTGTGTTAGCAAAGGCTTGGTCAGTTAATGCAGGCATGCAGTGATTTATTTTCCTGCGCAGCCCTGAGCACAGTCGTGGTGCTCTCTTCCCCTATTGCTGTCCCAGAGTCTGTAGCTGCTACAGGCGAACCGACAGGCAATTTTCAGGGGCAGAATTTGTTGTTGCCAAGTCTCAGGAGTTTGTTAAGCTGCAGTATTTGACTTGGCTCATTTCCTGCAGTGGCTCCCTCTTGGAACTGTGTGATTGCAGGGGATGCAGCAATTATTAACAGTAAAACCGAGTTTCAATCTCTTACACGATTGTACATGAAGGTTCGGAAAGTGTGAACCTTCAAAGGCACAAAATATAGAGAGCAAGCCCAGGAATTATGCAGAATTTCTTTCTCCAACAAAGGGTTTTAAAACCCATTTTTGAAATTCAAGGGACCTTATGTCTGATTTCTGCAACAAAACTTGGCAGTGCTAAAACCAAATGAGCTGCATTTACCTGTGAATGAAAGGGTGGCAGTGGGGGTTTGGGGGAGACGTGGCTCCATTTGGCAAGTCCCAGTGCAGAGAAAAGGAATTAAATAAACAAAGCAGGAACAGAGTACTTTCAAAACGAATCAAACAGCATGGACCATTAATGTTTCAAGAGATAGGAGCTGTATGTGAGCCAACCATCCCCAAGATATTTATTCCCTATCTTTAAAATAGGGAATTGCATTAGAACAGGTAGAATCTTTCAAAGCAGGGAAAATTTTAAAGGGCACTCACTATACTTTAAAGAAGACTTCAAAAACCATCTCCAATATTGAGCTGAATAAGTTGGAGAGATTTGTAGGTTATAGCAAGGGAGAGTGATGGGAATACATATGGAGCAAGCTGGTTACTGCAGTAAACAAACCTCCCCCAAACTCGCAGCGAGTGCTTCAGCTCAGGAACAAATGGCTTCACATCTAGAAATAGGTTTTAAAGTAAGACAAGGCACTAGGTAAACACCAGCCAAGAGCTATAAAGTATTGTTATAGAAGGTGAAAGCCAACTAGCCTTGGCCATTGGGTTGGAGAGGAAGAGCATAGTTAAGACACTCCGTTCTTCATACCCTGAGATGTAGCCTTGAGGAAGCTAACCCCTGATGGCTTTGAAATTAAAAATGATGAAAAAGGAGAAGTTTTCATTACAAAGGAGGACAGCACAGCACAGCTATAGAGGCACAGCTTCAAACAGTGCTGCTTTGCATCTGCAACAAAGCCAGCAACTGCACCGGAAGAAAGCGGCTCCGAGCCGCTATTCATAATGCACCATCAAGGGCAGCGGCGCAGCTCCCCTCTTCGTGCATCCCATCCCGCTGGTGAGAACGAACTATTTTATCTCAAGGAAAGAGACATTATCATTAATTGACTTGCACAGTGCTTGTCACTAATGGCTGGGTGCTGTAAAACAGAGATACTGTAATCATGGACAGAGTTTGAATATTAGCAAAGATTGCTGGGCTTTAATTCCGCCCCTCCGCAGGGCTGGCATTGCTCTTGCCATCACAGTCCCCAGGTTCTCTCCCAGGCACTGTGGCAGGGACCACCAGAGGTTTCTTTCCCCAGTGACAGTGTTCCCTGTCCCTTGTGGGACTACCCCAGCTCCTTATTTTCCTGCTGTTTTCCTTACCATGATCCCAGTGAGACAGAGGTAACTGTCTCCTGCATCCTTGCAATATTGGCCATCCCCTCAAATTAGGGTTTCTTTTTTCATTAATTTTAAAAGCCCCTTGGCTCTTCTTTTTCAGGATTTATTATTAATTTTTGTAATAATTATTCTATAATACAAAATAATAGGATCACAGAATGGTTTTGGTTGTGAAGGACCTTAAAGCTCATCCAGTTCCAACCCCCTGCCACGAGCAGGGACACCTTCCACTAGAGCAGGTTGCTCCAAGCATGTTCTTCTTGTAATTTTTAAGCTGCTTTTTAAATGTTAGTCTCCCACCATGGTTGTAGCACTGTCCTGGCTCTGTCTTGGGTAGCATGAGACAGCAAAGGGGTGGCTTGAAGCCCCTTAATAACCCAGTGGTAAGATTTACCCAGCATAACCATCCGCTTCAAAGCATTCTCCGAACCCTTGTCCGACAAACCCTGCAATAAACTAAAGGGTTTAGTGTGGAACAAGAGCTTGAATTGATGCAACAGCCCTAGCAGCTCGCCCAGCAGCCAACAAGCGCCTCACCACTGTATCTGACCACATCTCCTGCATCCATCCCATTCAAATTGGGTTGAAGGATGCCCAGGTCAGTGTCAGGGCACTGGAGCTCATTGGAGCTGTTCCATACAGAGCCAGAGCATAAGCCAGATGCTGCTTCCCGGGAAAGCCTCCCCACTGCATGGGGAGGAGGCGGTGCAGAGCCGTGTGCCTCCCAGCTAAGCATTAGTGAAGCTTTTTAATCTCTCACTGTGGGATTTCTTTTTGCTTCAGCATCGCGCCATAAAGTATTTCAGACAAGGTGACATTTTCCATCTGCATAAAGTGCTTGCAAACATTGTGAATTTAACTTTTATTGGCCTGATTTAGGGGTATGGGACTGTGCATAGTCTTGGTCTCTCAACCTATAGTCCTGCACTTTAAGTGATGAATTAGTCAGTAAAATAAACAGGGTATTATCAAGCTGTACACACGTCTGCATCTTCCAAAGAAAATTAAACCTTGTCTGAAAGTACAAAAGCTAATGATGGTGAAATCAACTTGGCCATAAATTACCCAAAACTCAAAACCAATCCAGAAGTATCCGAGAGCTTGAACATTCTCCTGGAGCAGAAAGCCTGGAAAATGCTTTCTGCTCCAAGGTGTGTATTGAATGGCAGTGTACGACCACGCTGAACCACTGCACAGCACTGTCTGTGCCACTGTCTGTCCAGGTGCTGACCATTCCCCATGAAGTCTGAGCAATGGATCAGTAGATTCACCAGGGCAAGATCCCGATGTTACCGCAGTTCCCATTCTCTTCCCCACATACCAAGGGGAAGAGTGATCCATCAGTTACCATCTGCAGCGATAAACAAATGTTGATGTCTTAATGGCAACCACCACACCTGCAGCAAGGGCATGATGGAATACTGATAGAGCCATTAGTACCCAGGCTGGTGATGTGATTTTATATTTCATTTAACCCAGAACACAACATGCTGCAATGTATATATTTGCAACTGCTCCCTTGATGGTCTCTCTGGAGTATTATAAAGATTTATCATGTAGTGTTTGGTCAATACTAAATACCATGAAATGTCAGTAGAGCAGGTCTTGGGATTGCTTGAGCAGTAAATAACAGAATCCTATAATATCTAGAAAGAAATGAGCAGGTGAGCAAGTAACCTTAAAGAAACAATGAAACTAACCTGAACCCTAACCTTTTGGAAAAAAAACCACAACAAAGCAGCAAGGACTTCATTATGAAGTCCTCTTGACTTTTGATGAGTTCTACAAATACCTGTCATTTAAGTGCTTTGAAAAGGGTAGCCGTTTAGCTCTGGAAATGCTGTGCCATGGATTTTTGGGGCCAGGTGCCACATTAAGTTTCCTTTCTTTCAGCTATCTCAGCCTGCCTTATCACCCTGTGTCAGCAGGAACATCCTCTGCATCCTCCTCACCAGAGACCTGGCTGAGAAACAGCAGCATGGAAAACAGGATGGACACCCCTTCCCAAATGCTGACACTGGCCCTCCTAATCACTCCCCAGCTAATGGTGGGTATCGCTCAGAGAAAACCCTCCAGGTTTGTTTCCTCCAGGTCAGTAGCTGGCTACCATTTAAACATGTTCCTCTTTCCCTGTCTCTGACTTGCAGAATAGCTGCTAACTAACCAAAAGACAACATGGTGAGCCAAGGCTATTAGTGAATAATAATGCCATTTGCAGGCAGCAAAGGCTGAAAGGCTTCCAGAGCAGTTAGCAGTCTGCGGGCATCTCCCAGAAATGCATGAGCAGAGCTCCTGTGCATCAGCCAAAGAGCAATTACTCTTGGAAAGCACGTCTGCCTTGCGCTGTAGAATCTCTCCCAGTGTCCTGACTTTAAAAAGAAAAGAATGTGCTGAAACAAAGAGAAACTGGAGGAAAAGGACTTGCCATGCACAGCTCACGGCACCCTCCGGCACCACGCTGGATACCCAATGGCAGGGACAGAGCTGGGGTGAAACCAAGCCTAGAGCCTGGCCTTGAGGAAGAGGCCATGGGTAAGCCCCCTCCCGGCCTTCCCAAGAGCAGAGGTACAGGCAGCATGCAAGCTCCTCGGAAAGCTGCACTTTTAGGATGGAGTTCAGTCAAGCAGCCTCCTGTGTTGGCTTTCTCTTTTTGCTTTTGGCTTTCCGATGTTTCTTTTCCCCAAACATCTCATTTGTAGCAGAAGATTATATTCCTAACGGGGTCATTTGGAGTGCAGTATTGTACACAGTTCTGCTCTTTAAAGAACTAGCACGAATCCTAACAGCTCTCCAGGCAGGAAATCTGGTGGGAACTCTGCTTTCCTGCTTACTGATCTAACACTGGATCCAGCGATCCCACTGAGCCCATCAGTGCAGCGTCTTGGTAGCAAATAATGACACGGGGAGCCACCAAAGGACTGTTTTATGGTCCAAACTTGTTAACTTCAGAGAACAGGTCTTTTACAACATCATTATATTTTTTGGCAAATCACAGAGATGCTTCTAGCTTATGCCACATCTTTGTTTAACCACTCTGCTGTTATTTTTCTCCCCTTTTAAATTGCTTATTTCAGTTCCTACTTGAGTCTTATTGTCAGCATTACAGTGTGTGTGCTTTTTCCTGTATGCTGTTGTACATTTTTGTGGTTCACTTCTTTTAATTATGCATTTTAAGTACATTGTTTTATGACATCACTTGTTAATTGTTCAATTATCACTCTGCTCCTCCACTGCTCTACAGTGTGCAGTAGCCTTGAAGGGCTGTAGGAGTGTGCCACAAACAGGAGAGAAAAGAAGCAAATGGCCTAAAGACCCAAAGATGCATCGTAGACAGTTCTGCACTATTTAATTACATGTTGTTTGGCAAATAATTGGTAAGAAATAAGCTGCTCTCTCATTATTGTGAGAGCTTCTGCAATTTGCCACCAGGCCCCTGCCACGTGAAGCCTCCTGCTTCTGGATGGCTTCAGGGACAAGATCCTGGTGCTGCCATTAGCCCTGGAGAGGGTGAAGCTGCGATCTGCATAGGTCATGGCTGGCAGGGCTATGGGGTTACAGGCTGATGTGCCACTCTTAGGGCTAACAGCATCTCATGGCACCGTAGACATCAGCGTGGGGACTGTGCGAGGCGGTCAGCTGGTACCTAAAGGATGCAGGTTAACAGGAGATGAGATGCAGTTAGCCATCACCTCTTAACTCCCTCAGCTCACCTGCTGCTAAAAGTCCATGCTCCTGGTCTTTAATTTACTCCCACACTTACTACATCGTGCCTCCCACCTCACCTTTGCTTTAGGATGCCATCCCCCTCTTACCCTTTGCATCATCTAAAAGTGGGCTGCATCTCCCTGTCATCATCCTTGTCTGAATTCAGTAGGAGTAATTAAAAACAGACCAAACCCCAAGTGATGCAGCTGCACAATTAGTTGAGCTGTTATGGTGAGCGCTGTATCTGTGTCTCAGCAGCAGACAGGTACACACATTCCGATGGATGGATGGATGAAAGGAGTGGTGCTGTCTATAGATGCAGATCTATTGAATGGCTTGCTTTCAGCTTGGAAAGATAAAGGTTCATGCCCTCTCTGACAGGAAGGACTGACACTGGGCTTGTATTACCTGAGCAATTGGTTCAAGTAGACAAAGGCAACGCTGCTCAGGCAGTTGGTGTTATAGCATTGGGGTTTTGAGTATCTCCCGCTCAGATTTAGGAGACTAAGAAAAGTGATTAAGAGGTGCCCAATTCCTCCCACACGCGCAGCCCATGTGTGACACTTATTGATCGTCCATGTTAATGTGCACACATTGCCTTTTTTATCATACAATGCCCAAAGACAGCCTGGAAGCTTGTTTATGACACTGAACTCTTCATCACATAGCTCAGACAAAGGTGCTCCATGGCACATCCAGTTTCATTTGCACATCAGGGAATCCCAGAATGGTTAGGGTTGGAAAGGACCATACCTTAAAATAACTTGGAAGGGACGCGTGAGTTGATGGCTCGTGTTTCTGTTAAGAATGTGACCCATTTATAACAAAACCCTGAAAGAGAATTGAAGATGCTGAGATTCCCCATATATCACTGCAGTATCTCACTTGTTTTACAGTAATTTGATGCTGCCTGAACACAGTAGTCGACCTTTTTTCACTCCTGCTTGCAGGGTAGAACAGCAGGGATGATAAACCTTATGCTTTAGTTCAGAAATAGCACACATCAGTGAGAGCGACCAGGGCTGCACCACGGGAGAGAGTGGGTTGTGGCAGCTCGGAGCAATGCCGATTACTGGGGTTTATTATACATACAAGAAAACCATATTGCCTGCCAGAGAAATTGCACCTTGGCCTAGAAGCTTGCTAAGGGTTTGTTTGCTTTTTAAACCTGGGTTCATACCTAGGTTTATGTCCCTTCTCTCCTGGAAAGTGTTCATTTGAGAGCCCTGAATGGCTTGGGGTCCTGAGGAGCTGAAACAGAGGCTTTCACAAGCACTGTGATGGACCTGCTCCTCCTGCAGCTGGCAGTGGCAGGACTCTGCATCAGCGGAACACACATTCAGGTTGCTCTTCTTTCCTAAAGGCAAAACTGGCATCTCACAACACCCTAAGTAAAAAGAAACGTGTGAAATAGCTGCTTGAGTTGGAAAGGGAATCGTGATGTGACCGCGGAGGGGACATCTCACTCCGGTCCCTTGAGCATTGTGTTTGTGCCCTAAATTGGGGCACAAAAATGAAGAGTTGAAGTGACCTTGCATCACTGTGCCTGATTTGTGGAGGATCAGCTTTGTTCTTGGAGCGGCACTGTCATGGGGAAGGATAAACCTCAGCACAAAGAGACTGGGTAAAAATAATAAAGCAAATGTAGCACAGGATGAAAGCAGCACTCGGGGTCATCTGGGTGCTGGATAGCATCTGCTTTTGTGTATAGAGAAGGAAACCTAGCATGAGTAATGGCTCTGAAGCAGCTACACTGGATGTTTATCACACAGCTACTACTGGGGCAAATGAGAACATTTCCACTCTTTCAGCAGGCAGTGCACAACGTGTGTGACTCTCACAGTGACCACAGGCCTCAAGAACAGTGGGCAAGCGCCTTCCTTGTAGAAAACCATATAATCCCTTTCCAAACCCGTGAAGCCCAACCTCAGAGATCACAGGGAGCTTGCCTGATTAAAGACCAGAATAAATTTCGGGGCCAGGTTGTCTGGCTGTTGTAGCAGCAAATGGGAAGAAGGGCCTCGGGCTGTTTTCCTTGACATGGCAAACTTACATGACATATCATTTGATGTGTTGATTCTATTTCCTAAGCATTGCCTAGCACAGAAATCAAGCTGGCTGCAGCTCAGCAGCCATCAGCTCTGCCCCACACAGTCCAACACTTCTGCCTTGCAGGGCAGGAGCTGTGCCGGGCCCCTACATCTCTCCTGGCAAGGATTATGCTCCCACACGGGCAGGAGCATCTTTTCTCAAGGTGTCTTCCCCACCTCCAGCACAAGCTAATTATAACCCCTGCACTCCTCCATCAGCTATTTACATGATCACAGCCAGCCTTTGGCATGATTTCTTGCTAACGCTGTAACTGTAATGGCAGTCTCATAATGACTCTGCTGCCACCAGCTAAAGCTGTGCTGCAAATCATCTCACCTGGCTCAAGTTATCTACACGGGAATCAGCTGGGTGGGTGAATGGTCCTGCAACACACACGGCCCAAGATGAACCTGAGCTTTTGATGGTGTGTTCCAGAGGAGGCATCACATCCCTTTTTATCCCCAGAAAAGGGCAAATCCCACTGGAGCATCACTGGCTCCGGGGCTTATCTCTACGGGTGACAACCAGGAGGAAAAGCTTTCATCCTGAAAGAACTCTGCTGAGCTGTTCTTACATCTCATACGTATGAAAGGAGGAAAGAGTTGCTTGGGAGGCTTGAATTGGTGTTTGGCTGGTGGGATCTCTCTTACTTGTGATAACGTGTGCGAGGAGGACAAATTGAACCTGACTGTCAAGTCCTGGAAAAAGCACCCAGCTTAGAAGTAGGAAAAGAAGATGAATCTGTACTTTCTGCTTTGTTGTTGAGTTTAAAAAGAGTTTTAAAAGCAAAATCGATCCTAAATCTTCAAGGTTGAACCTTCGGGTCTGTCAGAGTTTCTTTTCAACACTAACACGTCAGAGCTTGCGGACAGACCTCTAAAGATGCCATGAAAGGGTAATGCTGAAGTGAGGAGACAGCTGAGACTCTTCCAGTTGGGAGAATTCTCCAGCCTGCACTTCCTGACAGAGGCAAGGGAGATGGCAGATGGTAGGTGGCATCTTGTTTATCAAAACAAAAACTGTGGGATCTCTTGAGGTGCAGGGAAAACCTCACAGCTGAAGTGAGAAGTTGTCTGTGTGCACTCTCCTCTGAACTAAAAAACTGCTTCTGCTTGGTGCTGCTTGGAGGCAAAATGAATCTAGCCAAGGAGAATGAATAGGCAGGACATCGG